AAATTATTGGGGATCATCAGTGTGGGTTTAGACATAACAGATCAACTACAGATCAGCTCTTTTGCATTCGCCAGATATTCGAGATAAAATGGGAGTACCATGAGACAGTGCATCAGCTATACATTGATTACAAGAATGCCTATAATTCAGTTAGGAGGGAAGTATTGTACAATATTGTAATAGAGTTTGGGATACCCATGAAACTAGTTAGGTTGATTAAAATGTGTTTAAACGAAACGTATAGTAAAGTCCGTGTAGGTAAACATTTGTCTGATAAATTTCCTATATAGAATGGTCTAAAACAAGGAGATGATTTATCGCCACTCCTTTTCACTTTGCCTTAGAATATGCCATTAGGAAGGTCCAAGGAAACCAGGTGGGACTTAAATTAAACAGGACACATCAGCTGTTGGTCCATGCTGATGATGTGAATCTACTCTGTGATAATGTAGATACCATAAAGAAAAACACACAAACTTTAATTGACACAAGTAAAGAGGTTGGCCTAGAAGTAAACACAGAGAAAACTAAGTATATGTTACTGTCTCGTCAACAAAATGCAGGGCAAAATCATGATATAAAGATAGGAAACAGATGTTTTTAAAATGTGGCACAGTTCAGATATTTGGGAACAACGATAACACATCGAAACCTGATTCAGGAGGAAATTAAGAGGCGACTGAACTTGGGTAATGCTTGCTACAGTTCAATTCACAACCTTTTATCTTCTCGTCTGTTGTCCAAAAACATAAAAATTAGAATTTACAAAACTATAATTTTGCCTGTGGTTCTGTATGCGTGTGAACCTTGGTTTCTGGCATTAAGGGAGGAACATAGACTGAGGGTGTTTGAGAACAGGGTGTTGAGAATATTTGGACCGAAGAGGGATGAAGTGACAGGAGGTTGGAGAAAACTGCATAATGAGGAGCTTCATAACGCGTACTCTTCTCCAGAGTATAATTAGAATGATCAAGTCAAGGAGGATGAGGTGGGTATGTCATGTAGCACGAATGGGGGAGACGAGGAATGTGTATAGGATATTGGTAGGAAAGCCAGAAGGAAAGAGACCACAGGGAAGACCAAGGCATAGGTCAGTGGGCAATATTAGAATGGATCTTAGAGAGATAGGTTGGGATGGTGTGGATTGGGTAGATCTGGCTCAGTATAGGGACCAGTGGAGGGCTCTTGTGAACACGGTAATCAACCTTCGGGTTCCATAAAATACTGAGAAATTCTCGAGTAGCTGGAGAATTGGCGGATCCTCCAGAAGGGCTCAGCTTCATGAGTAAGTAAGTAAATTCTTCATAATTACCTGTACATTTAAAATTGACTTCTTCTACACAGAAACAGGTCATATTTTGTTACATTAAGCCTGGATGTTGTGTTATCAGAGATGTAATAAACGGTTCATATGCAGCAATGTTGCCAGTGAAGACAGACGTTCCACAGGGTGTGTCACGGCTTTGTCCAGGTGCACGCCGTTCATTCTTCTGTCGCATGAAATGCAAACTGCCAGCACAAGTGAAGGAAGAGGCTGACACTACTACAGGATGCCAACGGCGCAAGAAGCAGCAGACCCCAGGTATGGCAGTACTGGAAGGATTGTCATTCCCACTAATCAATTTATTTCAGTGTCCATTACTGACCAGCATTACAGTTGTAATGTTTGTGTCGAGATCACCACATCTCAGGACAGGATGGATATTCATTCCTTTGATGTGACAACTGTTATATAGCAAGGAAGAGAATATGAGATCTAAGATGTTCATGGCAGCAAATATTAAGACTGTGATGTAGGATGAGATGCCATATAGGATGGTAGATAAGACCTCTCTACCACATGATGTCACATCTCAGAAGACTGTGACCCTAAGGAACAAGAAAATAAAACATGTTTTTAAAAGAAATATAAGGTTTAAAGATACCTCAGTTTAGCATGGAAGAAAGTGAGTGAAGACTCCATTAAAAGAAATTGCAGGTAAATTACCGTAGCTTGGACTCCTTGGAAATGTTTAAATAAGGGATTTTGTTTTGTAGACTGAATGTAAAATGGGGTTATGTTCCTGAGCAAATATTTTTCTGTTACAAGATTGATAGGTTCCATTTTGATTATTTGGAAGGGCATTTAAACATATAAATATGACATTAAATATTGGGGCTGTCATCATTCTTTCTACTTACTTTGTAAAACAGTACTCATCAAGATATGTAAAACAAACATTTTGTCATTTGTATTGTATGAGTATAAACATGATCTACTTGAGGGAAGAATTAAAATTGTAAATGCTTGAGAACACAGTCATTGAAAAATATTTGGACCTAAGGTGGTTTAAATTAGTGAGGAAAAGATATTACAGAGAAGTAATATGTAGGTGATTTATACAGGTCACTTACTATTGGTAATATAGTGATTGGCTTGGCATGTAGCTGGAATGGGGAAGATGAAGGATATGTATGGAAGAGTCACTTGGAAGCCCAATACTGAAATGGGAAAATTGCATTAAGATGACCCTTAGGGATACACATCATGAGGTGAGAGGCAGAAGAAACTGACTCAGGATTTCTACAATGATGGGCTTTGTTATCCGTGGTGTTGAACCTTCAGGTTTGGGTTCAGTTTAAATGCTTTATCCCAGTAATGAAAATCTGGTTATATTTTAACAACAGAACTTTTCTGCTTTGTTGCTTGTGTTCGGAGTCGTAGTTTAGATGCAAATTATTCTGTACTTCTTAGACAGGCTGGTTTTCCTATTGTGACTTCACTGATGAATCCATCTTCTTGTTGGACATCCCAGGTCACATCTTTCATGTTTCAGTTTAGTACAGTTGTAAGAATTCTCCTGTTTTCTGCATTTGTGGTCCATGTTCCATCCATTTTCCTTTGTAATTCTGTATTTTTTGTTTATGAAAAATATTTGTAATTAATTTGTATTTATTCCTTGCTTGTGTGCTGTTACAGATAGGAAGTACTGTGTGATCCAGTGCACAGGCTATCTGAAGTCGTGGGCACCAGCCAAGATAGGCTTGGAGGAGTCAGAAGGGGAGGGAGATGGGGAAGCATGCAACTTGTCATGTCTGGTGGCAGTAGGACGTGTACAACCCCAGATATCAGCGCCCTACTCCTCGAAATTTACAGCAAATTTATGTCAGAAGCCTAAAGTTCGCACTATACAGTTCATATCCCGTCATGCCATGGATGGAAAGTTCCTTTTTGTTGACCAGAGGTCAGTACCAGAAAGATCTTATCCCGTATTTCTTTATTTGCTTTTATTGTTCTCGCTTTTAATTTTCTTATTTTTTTTTCCTTTACACCATTATTGTAATTCTCCTTATTTTTCATCTCATCTTCCACTCCTTCTCTCTCTTGTTTTCTCCCCTTGTCCTCCTAGTCTCATGTCCTTTGTTGAGATTCAAGCATAGGATGAAAATTTCCATTCTTATATCTTTTTCCACATTTTTATGTCCGTCTATTCTATGAAAAATTTGTTTCACTTTATCTGGTCCATCTACCATGATGCCAGCTTTCCCACAGGTCCCTTTCCTTTAGGTTCAAATTCCAGTTATTTTGAACATCTGTGTGCCGTTATTTGCTCCATATAATTAAACCTGCTATACTCATTTGTAATTTATTGCTATTTCCTCCAGTCCGCCCTTTTTCCTTATTGACTGTACTGTCATGGTTTAGAGGTGTGTGACTGTAGATGGGGTATGGATTGGTGAATGGATTTATTGACCACTTATGCACATGACTCATAGGTATATGTCATTACAGTGCTATCACTGATCTATAAACTTCACAAATCACTAGAGCACACACTAAGTCTTCTCAGTATGTTATCACTAGTCGTTTCGTGGTAACGGATCTTAACAACTGAGATTCTTCAGCTTCTTTGCTCACTTTGTTACCTGCTGACTAATACTGTACAACTGAACTGTCAGCTTAATCATAATACCATCTCTTCTCAGCCTCCCTTGCAGATCTGAACTCACTGTCAACTCATTGCCCAGAATCAGCCATTTTTTATTTGCCTGTCTTGCAGCTGTTGCAGAGCACTATGCTACACTGCAACCTACAGTATTTTTCCTAGTTTTCTATTTGTACTTCACAACAATAGAATTCCATGAGTACTTATTAATTAAGCAGTTTGCCATTAAGACATATGGAGGAGTGGTGGTGAAGGCCCACATTTGTTGACCATGGTGCTAGGTGGAGGTGAGTGGTCAGCTTTATGCATCGGCCATTTTACCCCTCTGTAAATCATCCCCAGTATCCATTGAATAGGAAGCTGGGTGGGCCCCAGAGACTGTCTGGTCGCTATGGAGAAGAGAAGAATCTTGTCCCTTCTGGAGATCAGACATTAGCCAGCCAGCCTGTAGCCTGTCACTACTGACTGAACTATCCTGATACCTGACAGAAATAAATAGATCATAATTATTGTAACAACTAATGATAATTCCTCCTAATAATTTTCTGTACAGATATCAACATCTTAAAGAGAACAGTTATCCTTTCAGAATGACAGAATGATCTCTCTGTGCAGGGCAACACTAGTGTTGGGTTTCCTGCCACAAGAGCTCCTTGGTACAAGTATGTATGAGTATTACCATCAAGATGACATACTTCATCTAGCTGAATCACACAAAGCAGCACTTCAAGCATCAGATCGTGTATCAACTCAGGTCAGTTTATCAACAGCAGTCACACCCAAGTATCTGTGTCTGCCTATTACCAGATGTAATTTTAATAGAAAGCACTACATAAGGCTACATGACCGTCTCTCATTCAGCATTCACAATCATCGTACTCTTTATTACCGTACAATATGTATATATACAGGGTGTCCCAGGAGGAATGTGCCAAACTTCGGGAGGGTGTTCCTTATGTTAAAGTATGCCGATATAACCCAAAACACCTATGTCCAAAGTTGAACGGTTACGGAGATAATGGCCAGAGAAGTGTCAAACTTTGACCGGGGTTACACACTTGTTGATTACAAAATAGATATTAAAACTGGCAGGAATATGTGGATTCTGTAACGTTAATAATGTACGTAACATCAAACTAACTTGTGAGTGACATGAAGCCATAAAATTGAAGTACAAAAAACTCGCATGCCATCTCAAAGTTGTCGTTAAGAGTTCCAAGCACTGTACATGACACATGAATGGTAAGCGATGACGTAACGTGCTGACTGCGCGTTCTGATAAAGCCAACTCCATAAGCACGGATAGGATGAATCACGGCAGTCAAGGACAAACAGAGATAATTCCTCTCAGCTGATAGGTATAATCCGTGGACCCGCTAGAAGACCACACTTTTCTCGGGCCATTATCTCCGTAACCGTTCAACTTTGGACATAGGTGTTTTGGGTTATATCGGCATACTTTAACATAAGGAACACCCTCCCGAAGTTTGGCACATTCCTCCTGGGACACCCTGTATATATATATATATATAGGTGAGGATATCATTAAACACCCCAAGACCCTGTCTTTGGTTCAGACATTCATGTGCATCTCCTTCACCCTCCTGCTATTTTTCTGGAAAGACCCAGGAAAACTGTGTAACTGGCATAGTTAGGATACATAGATTTTAACTTGGAGAGAGTATTCTACTGAGATAATATTACATGAATGTCGCATATTTTATTCAGAACTACAAACGTTTTTCAGGTAACAGATGATGACAGGTGAGTTTCTGATGCCTACTAAGCTGAAACCCTCTGTTTCATGAATTCCTGCAAGTAACCTCAACTTCCCTTCCTCTTCCTTTTTCCTAAGGTAGAAAAGAAACAAGCAAATTTACTTCTGTTTCATCTCTTTCACAGGTTTATCAGTTTCGAAGCAAAGATGGTTGTTATGTAGGCCTACAGAGTGAATGGAAGTCATTTAGAAATCCATGGACAAAGGATGTTGAATACATGGTAGCCAAAAATAGTGTTGTTCTGTAAGTAAATGATCATATTTACCATTTTCACCATTAATGTTTTCACAGAGGTGTGTCATTTATATGAGAAAGCTTCACCATTCTTCTCTGCCTCCCACAGGAGCTCCTCTTGTGTGAGTCTGCTGTTTACTTGCTCTCATTTGCACATCTTCCTTCATTTGGTCTCTCCACCTTGTCCTTTGTCTCCCAAGTGGCCATTCATATGACAGCTTCACGTAGTTGTCTTCAAACGATGATGTCTATGTCCAGGCATACTAGATCCATATCACTGTATACTAAATTTGACCAACTTTTTTTGCAATGTTTCCACTTTCACTTTTGTCCAATATCAGTGTGTTAGATTTTATCTGTTACCTTAATTTTGTTAATACTCCTTGGAAACGTTATTTCTCCTGCTTGTAATCCCCTTACATCAACAACTCTTAGTCCACATTCAAGTTTCTGTTCCACATCTAATAATAGAAAAGCAATACATTTTATGAAACATAGTTTTAACACTTTCTGAAATTCTGAATTAATTAAAAATAATATTTGAGACTCATGACAGAATTACTCAAGTTCAAATAAGTGAATATTGTTTAATTTTTAAACCTTCCTGGTCTAATCCTGGCTTGAACCTGCCAGTTGTAGAATTTCAACACAGTAAATGAATTAGACAAATGGATATGCTCTGTCAAACTCAGAGCAGTGTTTGAAAAAATCACATTCCTGTCTTCTGATGGCCTAATGTCTAATTAGTGTGAGACTAAGAATTAATTGGATGCAATGATATATCAAATATTAAAATAAATGAAACTTGGATGGTTAAAAAGGAGTGAATAAACTGATTACCAGATAAGATGGTTTATAGTGGTTTTCTGTAACCTACATTATACTTGCATAACCACATTCCTGGAAGAGATGGTTCATTACAGCCCCAGTGGGCCTAGGCCTACCTCCATGAACTTCTCCATTCACTTCGGTTTTTCTAGATCTTACACATTCGGTAGGACTCCTTGGGCTGGTGATCAGCTTGTCACAAGGCCTCTACCTGTACACAAACACAGAAAAACGCACACACAAACTAACATCCATGCCCTGAGTGGGATTCGAACCCACGATCCCGGTTTCCAAGCGAACGAAGACAGTACATGCTGGAATTGTGCTTAGACACAGGAATAGTTTACTGTGTTCATCTTTTAGTTAATTGAAGTTGTTTGTAGGAAATTATATTTAAAAGAGAGCTATATCAAGATTCTTTTCAGGCTTTTGGTCTGTATCTCCTTTCAGTATGAGTTTGAGCTGTTCATTTTTCCTATTTCTGTGATCAATATCTTTAGGTCTGACGTACGTGTAGTCGAGAGCAGTGCTTCAAGGTCAAAGGAACCAAGCCAGTCACAGCAGAGTTTTGACTTTTTCTCTCAGTGTAAGTAATTTTGTATGGTATGCCGCATTTTTTCCTTCTTCAATTTACAAATGATGAGTCTCTTATTTACTTATTTATTTACTTAACAATGTTTTGCCACCTGTATGGATATATGTGTGTCGCGCGGCACCTCATCTGCATATATCATAGTCTAGAATTTACATTTGTTGTCCAAGGAACAATTTACATGTAAATATAGGTAAAATGAATTATCTTTCTGTTTACTTGAGATATCTTTTACCAGACAATGAAACTTGCTGATTGAGACATCTTAATATATTTATTAGCCCCTTCTTATTTGTATAGTTCAATATGGATTGGATAGATCTGGCTCAGGATAGGGACCAGTGGAGGGCTCTTGTGAACACGGTAATGAACCTTCGGGTTCCATAAAATGCTGGTAAATTCTTGAGTAGCTGCAGAATTGGCGGCTCCTCCAGAAGGGCTCAGCTCCATAAGTAAGTAAGTAAAATAGTTCAATAACATTGAATTGGGGATAATTCTGTATACCGAAATGGCGATAATGAGGAAGAGATTGTGGTCTGTCTGCAGGTTATTTCACAACATATGCCATGGATTGGCTGAGGAAAACTATGAAATCTTAAGTTAGGTCAAGAATTGAACAAAAGACTTCATGGATATGAAGCAGAAGTGCTAACTATTCAGTTCTAACATTTAATTTATAATAATTTAATGCACTTTAGCTTCTGGAGGACGAGATATGCAGAGGCTCATCAGTACACATGTAGAGGCAAGTAAGATTGGGAGACAAATAGCTGAGGAAGTGCTGGACTCACAGCGACGTGGAGGGGATTCATCATCTGACAGCAGTCCATCACCAGATGCAGAAAGGTCTCTGCCCCCACAGATCACACAGTCCAGTGCAGAGGTACTTGCAAACCAGTTCATGAAAAGACAAATTATTTTTACTCCCAGCATCTTCCTCTCTATCTGTTGCTGAATTAAATACTTAATCTTGGATTTGAAAAGTCTGTTTTTTGTTTACCACCTACATATTGAGTGACAAGAAGAGATGAAGTCTGAAACCAAGATATTAGACAAGATCTAAAAGCAGAAACATTGTTTACAGTTGTTTTTCTTAGATATTGATAAGTTGCACAAAGTCAGATGCACAGACAGACAGCCAATATTCAGTGTGTCATAAATATCATTTATTAAAACATGTTCCAGTCTTTGATCACAAGCAATCTTAGTGAATGCTCACCACAACAAAGAAGTACCTCAGCACTTCAGCAATCAAATTACAGCAGCAACAACACCAATAAGAACACATCAATGTTGTTCAGTCAAATCCGCAACAATGTCCAGCTCTCAGCTGCTAGTGAGCCAGGTGAGGTGTTCCATGCAGAACTCTGCTCTGACTCAGGTTTCCGAAGTTCTTCAGGCAAGTTGTTATATAAAGTAAATACATAACTAACTCATTTTCTGCTAGCAAAACTCAGCAATTAAACGTTGCTAATAGAAGCTCATTTTGTACAATCTTGAACCTGCTACCTGCTTCATGGTCGTTTGTTGCTTGGCTTATTCTTTTACCTTAAAAGTGGAGGCGACATGTTCCTCAGAAACGTCAGTTGAGTTTCAGTGGACTACATGACATTATATCCTAGACAATAGAACTCTTCAATCTCCAACCAATTCCATTCCCCACCCACCCCCACCTACTGAGAGAGAAAATATAAAAAATAATCAGTTTGCAAACAAAAGGAAGTCAGAGAGAGAGTACGTGCAAGAGACACAGAAAGGTAGAGAGAGGAAAGAAGGAAGTGAATGAGTTTTACCACTGTGAGAAAGAACAAAATAGAGTACATGTATTGTCCAGAAGAGAAAGGGTTGAGAAAGCGGCCTCCATAGTCTAGAGGTAACGTTCCCACCTCATGACTCGTAGTACGCGGGTTCAAATACCTGGCGGAGGTCATCGAATTTTTAAGGGCAGAAAAATTCAGGGAACAAGTCCTCCGGGAGGGACTTTAAGCCGTGGGTCCCGTGTCGTAGCTTTACGGCACGTAAAAGAACGTCATATGTCCAAAGGAGGTCACTGAGCCAAATTACGGACGTTTCCCACCCAACAGCAGTTTCTAATACCTCTGGTAGATGGGCATTATAGATACCTCTCAGCTAGTAGAGCCGGTTTCGCTGGCTGGGCGGGACTGATGGTAAGCACCAGTACCGGTAAGATATAGAGACTGGTAGAAATCATAGAGGGAAGCACAGTGGACCAATACAGGTCTAAGTGCATGGGGAAACCCACCCTCTCCAATAAGTAACTAACTAAGGGTTGAGAAACACAGTCTGAGAGAAAAGGGGGTCAAAGTCACTATTCCTCCCTCCATTTATGTCTCAGGCCAGTGGATGTCTGTCCTTCATTGTGATCAAATCTCCCTTTACTTCCTTCTCAGAGTGGTGATGCAACCTCCATTTTCATCCCAGGTATGTGCCTGCCACTCCATTCCATATCTATCCCTTTTTTAATTGTGCAGTTTCATCTCCACAGGTCACTCATAATGATGTAATTGTTTTTGTTGTTGTTGTTGTTGTTGAAAGTTCCTTCTTCATCTGTACCATCTGATGGCCCTTCAGTTTCCACTTACAAAAATTCAATACTTATTTACTGTGTGTAATATGAACATTCTTTTTAAAAGTGTTTGTGCTAATGTTTGAGTATTTACAACTTGTAATGACTGTAATTTTTGTAGGTGTGGAACCAGATGATGAGATGATGGAAATGATAGGAGGTGGTGCTTTACCAGAATCACCAAACCCTGGTGTTTCCAGTGATGGCAATGATGAAGCTGCAATGGCTGTGATTATGAGTCTTTTGGAAGCAGATGCTGGTCTTGGTGGACCAGTAGACTTTTCTGGATTGCCTTGGCCTTTACCCTGAAATTGAATTCTTCTTTATACAAGTATACATGTTTCAGGAGGTAGTTCACACACAAAATGAGAAGAAGAAAAAAAAATGAATATGGATGGCTTGCCAGTAATACTGTGCACTATGTATGAGACATGAGGTCAGTATATACATAGACAACAGCAGAAATTATCATATGTGTATATTAAAACTATTCATCATGATCTGTGATTATTAGCCATAAAGAAATACGAGTCTTTAAATAGTGATATGTTGATATTAGGAAGGAAGAGATTATTAGTACAAATTTTATGAACTGGGACTAATGTGAGATGCCTATTCTCCATTCGAGTGTCTGTCATGTGATCACACAGGAGGATTCTTTTCAATGACTGATTTTAAATTCATGAACTGAAATTCAACTCAAAAGTTGTAATAGAAAGTATGCTCTAGTTCCAGTACTCAAAGTGTTATGTTATTGCAAAGTTGCCCCATCTTTTACTACAGGTTTTATAACAAAAGACGACGATATATGTGGTGAAATGTGGGTATGCATTGGGCTGGAATTATACACAGTCCAGTTGTTTCCCTTGGCTGTTGTGTTATGCATGGGAAGAAATTATACCAGGAAGGTGGGAGTTAGATAACAAAGGAAGGTAAATTTATTCCTATGCCTAAACACCATACCATAAATGTGTATGGAGGCATGAAGATAAATCTGCATTATAGATCATGGCACTAATCAGGGAAGAAAGGCCAGTTTTATATTCCATTATGTTGTCTGAAGAAAGCACAAGTATGGAGAAGAGATGTATATTGAAAATAAAGAACTTGACTTCCATATGACTCCTGCCCCTTCCTATTTCTTACCCTTCTGTTGAACTTTACTATATCTGTTTTGTATTCAGCTGGCATTGGCCACATATAAATAATCAGAGATTGCTGAAAATTTGTTGTAAAGCTACATGATGTGGGATGTATAGGAGATGAGGGAAGTGATTTCTTTGTAACATCTGACTTTTGCAGTGTTACTGTTTGCACACAGCTTCTCCAGCCAACAACAAGTAGCTAAGTGAATAGTTTAAGAATAATGTTGTAAATGTAGCAAAGGTTGTGAATCATTGTTTCTCATGAAGAACATATTGCAGCAATAGCAAAAATCAAATGTGGTGAGAGGTAGCCTGAAAACCCTTGAATCTTCTGGAGTCAAGCTACTACATTGCCTCATGATTTGTCCGTCCAAGCTGCTGTGCCTCCCATCTTATACGTCTCAATTTGAGTTCTGACATTTGTCAATTATACGTGTATATGGGTCAGTTGGTTATTGGATAACATTTCCTGAATTGCACAGGCTATGTAACATTGCATGTTAGGATTGTAAATGATAAATTGGAAAGGTTGTGGAAGTGGTCATGATCCCTTTTAAGAAGCTGTCCCAGCATTTGATGGACGGGACTGAGGAGAGCTGTGGAACATCTCATCCAGAATAGTCAGTCTTTAAGCTGAGATTCAGATCTGGGATCTTGTGAATTATAAGCAGGAATGCTAACTATTCAAATGTAACATCTGGTAACAGGGGAATGGACTTATATCATGAATTGATAACAGGATGTGACAGTTGTGTCTGTTTCAAAAACCGGAAGTCTGTATAATGATGCTGGTGGACTGAGTTTAAGTAATGTAACATCAATTCACCAGATGAATCAGAAAATGGTAATGTGGAAGTAAGAAGTGAACATTGCTCGATGCAGCTTTGACCATTACAAACTGTGTTTGGCAAATTGGTGAACGTTGATCTGTGAAGTGGGAGGCTTGCACTGTATGCAGTCTCAAGATTCTTGCTCTTTGTTAGCGCACTGCAAGAACTCATTATATGAGTGAAAGAGGAGGGCTTGAAGCCAATACCTACAAATGATAAAGTCTGAAATCTGAAGGAACAGAAGTTAGCAAGACAGATTATTTTATACATGGCTAGTAAGTGTCCTTTGTGATGTTGCAGTGTATGTATATATTTGAAGTATGATTGTTGGAGAGTTGCTTATAAGTGTCAGTAAAGATTGTGAAGAAATATTATATGTACATACCTGTAAAGTAGAGTCTTATGGTCCAATCAGCAATCTCAAAGAAGAATGTTAATGGAGGAACAGTATAGTCTTCTGTTATTATTATGTAAGAAAGGCAGTTAGGACCAAGTCATGATACTGTGTCTGTTAAATGTGTCATGTTGTTGATTTGTTTTATAAAAGTACCAAGTTTATTCAATTGTATTTTAAATGTTTTATATATATATATATATAGATATATATGAGAGTATAATAATATTTATATTGAAATATACCTGCTATGTTGTGCATTACCTTATTACAGGTTCCAGACTCACTGTGACAAGATGATGTGTTGGTGATGAATCACAAATAATTAATTACCATATTTTCTGGCATGTAAGTGATACCGTGGTTTGAAAAGTAATTGTCCACTGTAATGTACATACAGTCTTATTTTCCCTTTCCAAGCTTGCCTCTAAAATCACTAAACATTTTATGTACCAGCAAATATGGTGCATACAAATTCCAAACTGTAAACAATATTTAATTTTTCCCAAGATGGTCAAGACTTTCATCCATATAGCCATGCCCTTTGAAAATTGGTTTGCTGCATTTGAGCTGGTAAGGAACAAGAAGAGGGCTGAGTATGATCACATGCTGACCAGTATTGGTGACACAGATGCAACATCTTTGTGGAAGCCTTCATTGTTGGAGGACTAGATGGATGGGATCCAGTCAATGAGTGAATAATTAACTACCTCAAGCTCAGAAGCCACTACTGCCAACTCATGAGATGTCCGATGTACACAGAGATATACATATGTGGAACATCTGACTGGATGGAAACAATGTGCTGTTTACTGAGATCAAGCAGGAAGGAGGAGGAGGTATAAATAATATATATAAAGAACTTCAAAATGAGCTATTTTGCTGCTTCTTAGTTATACATGGAAGGGTTGTAGTTAAATATTTTCTAAGTGTTATAACCTGTGTAAGTGCCTCGTACCCATCTTTCTTGTCTTGAAGTGACATAACCCCTTTAGAGGTTTAAACCTCACAGCCCCAAAGAGGTGCAGCGTAGAAAGTTCCCCTCTACAACTACTGTTTTCTCCTGACAACTGTATGATTTCAAATATGTTTTAATAAAAGTAAATCTGTTCCTATCAGCTTAATTCAAGAGACATAAGTGGTAAAAATGATAGTGGGATATGTAGACTGTCCAATTAATATAATTAAGAATTTGTGCCCAATTCAGTTACATACATACAAATGAAGCCAAGCATGCTAGTCATCACTTAATGATTGCATTGAGAGTTACTAGGCACATGTTAAAACAGATTTGACCTGGAACTTTCTGGAGAACTTCAGAAATCCCATGAAAAATTCAAAGTTTGCAACTGTGACTTCAACTAGCTATTTGAGGTTTCTGGAGCTCATTTATGATATGAAGTGATAATTTATTTACATTTTTTTTGTGTACATGGTACAGATTGTGTAGATACTGCATAAAGCACCCAGCTGATATACTGGTTACTTGTCTACTCCCCTTGATGGTGCTAGGCTATTGTTTCCACTACCTTGAAAATAAGGCTTTGGCTATAGTGCTGTTACCAAATTCTTAACCTATTGTTCAGACCTGAGATAGGGGATGAGCATGAATGCTGCTTCCTTGGTTAGCCATTTCAGCAAAGTCATTGGCCATTACTCATCCTGTCAGGCCTTAGACTATATGCTTTTTATGCATTGGCAGGACCAATACAATTGCTGTACCAGCCTTCACATGGAAAATTTGATTAACATGCTTTATGGGCTGTGTCAAGGAGTATAAAGTGACAGAAAAAAGAGACTGCAACTCCTCTTTGAATTGAAATTTGGTTGTGTTGTGCATAAAGCAAGAATTCTACCCATGCACTGCTGTTTAAAGTGGCAAACCCATCATCTAATATCTAATATACTTATCGAGGAACTGTTTGAAGCATTATGTAATGAATTAAACAGAACATGGGCCCAAAAATCTGTTGTCAGGCTACAGAAACTGCTGCATATGAAAATACCACATTCTTCAAATATGCTAGAGACCTTTATGATTTTCTGTCACAAGTTTAATGGAAATTTTCCAAGAATGAGGGAAGAAAATATTTTTTGTCTTGTTTTGAGGCATACTGTTTTGCAATATAGTTAAATGCCTAGATGCTGAGGACAGCATGGCATATTTAAATGTAGTACACAGTATTTTAATGTTTACAACTATACCTTCACCCTTTTATTGCAGCTCTATCCTGGATTAAAAGTCGAAGTTCCATCCCATCAAATTTAGAGTGAATAATGGTGCATGCATACTGCTACAGGCAGTTAAATAACTGCTGCATCACAAGATCTGAACAACAGTTTGAGGACTGATCTCTGTGCAAAAGTTTAGAAAATAAAATATTCTGCACTGTTATGCCTTTATTTAATACATATATGGCAATATATCCAGTGACAACCAGCCTCCAAATCTGTATCATCCAGACTAGGTTGTGGTATGCCTAGTAGAATTTTGCTAAAATATTTTGTTTTGCCACCTGAAACTAATGTAAAAATTAAAATATACAAAACTGAAATTTTGCTTGTAGTTTTGAATGGGTATGAAACTTGGTCTCTGAAATTAAGGGAAGAACATGGACTAAAGGTATTTGAGAACAAGCTGGAGATGAGAATATTCAGACCACAGTAGCATGAAATGGTAGCAGGTTGGAGAAAATTGGATATTGATGAGCTTCATAGCCTGTAGTATATGCCAAATATAATAGAATGAACATGTCAAGGATGAGATGGTCAGGGCATGCAGCACACATGAAGAAGAATACACATAGAATTTTTGTGGGAATGTCAGAAGAAAAGATACCAATACGTAGACTTAGACATAGGTGGGAAAATATTATTCAAATGGATCCTGCAGAAATAAGTTGGGGTGGTACGAATGGTACAGACCTTATGGCTTGGATTCATTGGATCGCACTGGATCACTGGATTAAGGCTCCCAAACACCAGAGTAATCGTGGTGGTGGTCAGATATTTCATGCTGATCTTATAGACGCTTACAGACAGGCAGCGTTTTACTCCGCGGTGGCAATCAGATGCAGCTTCTTGATTTTGACTGCTGCCCGCATCGCTGTTTGTTTAGCTTCCACACCAGAGCAATCGCAGTGGCAGTCACGATGGCGATAAAGTCTTCTCACACCAACAATGTGGTGGTAGCGATCAGTTTGAAAAATCACGTAAGCACATCATCATACATGATGCATCGATCATCTCGTCTGGAAGAAGCGTTACTTTTGGCAACGACAGTTGATGATGAGGAGCAGCAGCAGCAGCAGCAAGGAAGGTAATTGTTCCTTTCATTGTGTACAATTGGAAAAAATTGAGAAGTTATTACAAATATTAATATCACAATTAATATATTTTTCAGAAAGAAGCGTAAGAAAACATGGATTCACGACCTTAATCTACTTCGTGAACATGAAAGAGAATTTCATACTTTATATCGGCAACTGCAGCATCATGAAGAACGGTTCTATATTTACTTTCGGATGCCAACTGAATGCTTTGATGATCTGCTGGACCTAATTAGGGGAGATACTACATACTACAGGAGGTCTACTGAACCCGTGGAATGCCTAGTAGTTGCGTTGAAGTAAGGAGGGGCACAGAGAGTTTTCATTAGAAAAAAAAAAACATAGACAAACAACTACGACATTTATTCAATTTAATAATTAATTAAAGAATACATGACAAAATTACAACCTTCCCACTTAATTCAACAATTTCTCAGAAATCTTATGTGTTACAGAATTTTCAAAAGAAATTTACAATATTTACAATGTCTTTCCAAACTCCTGAAGCCAGCGTGCAGCTGTAGTTGTATTTTCAAGATCTATGCTCTGCAAAGGTAGGTTACTTTCGGAGCTATACTGTGAGCAGCCTCCTGATCTTGAAGGTCCTGGACTGGGCGTATTGCAGTGCAAATTTGCTCCTGGACTAGGCGTATAGTGTGTGAGGTAATTGGTGATATTGAATCATAATTTGAAGGTCCTGGCCTGGGTGTACTGCACTGAAATTTTGCTCTAGTAGCATCTTCCATTTGTTGTGCCGGTTCCTCTTGCATTAATATTTCTGCAATTTTAAATTTCACTACTGTTTGCTGTCGTGAATTTTTTTTATGGTTTTAGCATATCCCATATAGAGTAAATTAACATCATCATAGGCTGAGTTTTCGATCGGTCTATTTTCCAAATAATTCAATATTTGTTCTACTGAAGAAGGCTGGGGAGATGTTTCTCCACCATGCTTTCTTTTTTGAATATGGGAGGATAAAGGATATGCTGGTCTGGAAAAACTTTCCTGTCCAGGTCGAATATGTGATGATATGATTTCAGCCTGTTGAGTGCCTTCATCTTTTTCAGTCAGAATAGATTCAGATTCATCTACTTCAGAATTAAGGACAGAATCTGGGATGGATATTGTGACATGTTGAGCTATGGATGACGCCACTCCCCCCCGCCAGCCGAAGTGAGGCGAGCGGAGCCGAAGTTAGCTGAGTCCCTGCAACCTGGTAGCTATGCAACGCGAGTCAACAGCGGTGACGTCACCAAGGAATACCGCGGTTGCTAGGCAGCGCGGGTAAACAGTGGTTGCGAGAGACGACGGTAGTAACAGCGGTACACAGCATTACTAGCACGACGGCACCAGACAACAGTGGTGCCTATTACGTGGCCGTTTTCTGTATTGTCCGAACGAGGCTACATAAGGAGCAGCGAAGGTTATTCACAGTTAGTCCTCGAGCTACCTACGAGTTAGCTCCGAGAGAGTTCCGAGTTAGCCAGCAACCAGTCAGTTGCATTGTATCAGTGTTATCATTAATTGTAGCCGTGATTTGTAGACTGTTAAATAAAGCAATTAACCATCTCTATGGCGTCTTCGATCTCAAAACACTTTACAATATATTTGACTCTGTACTTTCAAACTGTAGAAAATTACATCTGGTGGGCCCATGGCCAAGTTTTATATCTATTCAGAGTTTTCGCTGCTTGCCTGTACGCGTCTTCTCAGCTCTTAGATGTTTAGCATAGCAATCCCTTAGGTTCTTCCACTTCTTCTTCACCTCCTGACCTGAAAAGCACGCAAGCAGATATCACATAAGTGAAAAATGTTTTAGTTTATATTTTCTGCTTCAGGTTTCTAGTAACTGGTGACTGTTATACTGCAACAGGCCACAGCTTCCAGATGGGATTTTCTACAGTTAGTGGTATTGTTAATGAAGTATGTGACACAATTTGGATACATTTGCAGCATACTTACATGCCTGAACCTACAAAAGAAATGTGGGAAGAAATAATATTGTTTTAATGAAACATGGAAGTTTCCTAACTGTCTTGGAAGCATTGATGGGAAACATATTACCATAAAGTGCCCAAATAATTTTGGTTCAAACTATTTTAGCTATTTGAAAAAATATTCGATAGTTTTAATGGCTATAATAGACCACAATTACAAATTTATTTGTATAAACGTAGGTGGTTATGAAAAGAATAGTGATGGCGGTATTTTTTAAGCATCGGCTATGGGGAGAAAGATAGCTGATGGAACATTTAATATTCCAGCAGATAGGTCCTTGCCTGGTCAGAGCGAACTTACTTTTAGATACTTTTAGATCTCTTGTACTGCAGTCTCTCTTTCCTTCTGACGTTCCCACTAATAACCTAGATGCATTCCTCGCCTCCCCATTCGTGCTACATGCCCTGCCAACCTCATCCTCCTCGACTAGTGATACTGAACACAGTTCAAAGTATTAATTTCCCCCACAACCTATTTCCATTTTTGAACTGTATTCAATATCACTAGTCGAGGAGGATGAGGTTGGCAGGGCATGTAGCACGAATGGGGAGACGAGGACTGCACATAAGATATTAGTGGGAACGCCAGAAGGAAAGAGACTACTGGGAAGATGAAGGTGTAGGTGGGTGGACAATATTAAAATGTATCCTAGTTAGATAAATACTTGGTATAGATTGGATTGGACTGATCTGGCTCAGGATAGGGACCAGTGGAGGGCTCTTGTGAACATAGTAATGAACCTTCGGGTTCTACAAAAGACTGGAAAATTCTTGAGTGGCAGCACAATTGACAGCTTCTCAAGAAGGGCTCAGCTCCATAAGTAAGTTTAATGTAACTTCACCCATATCCTTTGGGTTGGATCTGAGTGAAGTTCTATTAAACTTTGTCCCCTACCCTTTCCAAAAAAAAAGTAACAGCAGAATAAGAGCCTCTGCACCTCTGGAGTACAGAGATTAGGTTGCAAATTAATTATCTGGAGAAAGTTTGTCACCAGGCCTGGAAAGTCATAATCTTTCTTTCACATGAAACACCTCTTTAACCAAAAGCACTGAACATCGTGAACTGTAACATACATGGAATACTTGTAATTAGGAAAGCTGAAGGTGGGGAAACTTGAAAGAAAATTCTGTTTCAATCAGAGATACATATATTAAGCCTCATAATTTCCTCATAACTTACACTTGAAAGCCACAAAGAACACAGTTTTCGGGTTACATTTAAGTATTATAAATCATATATTGTAAGAAACAATACTCATGTTCCCATTTATTATTTTCATTAGAATGATGGAATTCGAGAATGTGAAATACAGCCGTCAACAAAATTAAGACTGCATTTAATGATATAAGAAAATCTGATATATTCATCTTCACCAGTTCAGTACTGGGCAAAACAATATGGCAGAAATAATAACATATCTTAAAGAAATATACTGAATACTGAAAATCTGGTATCTGTTCACATTCCAGTTCAGTAATGGAAAGGTTTACATGTCAAAAGTAACACATCTTACAAAAGAATGCAATGAATACTGACAATCTGGTATATATTCATCTTCCAGTTCGGTATTGAATATGATTATACAGCAAAAATTAATAATATATGTTAAAGAAATGCAATTACTATTTAAAATCTTATGTTCATGTTCACCAGTCCAGTACAGGTAGCATTATATGGCAAAAGCAAGAGAAGGAATACACCTATAACAACAGACGTGAATAACAATGTAATGAAAATGAAATAGGTAAAGAAATTACATAAATAGTTCTACCCACATTCAATCCTGATACTGATTCTGCTTCTCAGAGTTTCACACTGAGGTGGATAACCTGAACTTTGCAAGTCA